GGCTCCCCTTCGGCAAGCTTAACCAATACCATATTAAATTAGTTTAACCACTACTTTAACTAGCATTGTTTTTGTTCCATCATGCCAACAGAAGAAATAGAGTAAAACAGGTCATGGTGAAATTAGGCTTACATCAGTAGAAGACTGACCTATGAATTTTACTTTTCAGTCTTATCTTCCACTTTCACACTCCTTTTCTCCTGATATTGATTCTTCCTCATCAGTTCCAGCACTAGGTGGCATCCTCAAACCCTTCCGATGGTAGTACTTCTGCCAGTCGAGCTCAACAAGCTTGGTGGCCTCCACCAACCTCGATGCATCTACCAATGCATTCACTACATCCTGCAGCACACCCCACTTGACTCCAAAGAACCTTTTACTGCCAAAGATTTCATAACAGTACCTCAGTGCACAATCCAGCTCTCCAGCCTGCAGAAGGTGTGGCATGAGAGTCTCATATGTCACCTTATTTGGGGCACACTGATTCTTCATCAAATTATCATACACCTTCTTGGCCTCCTGGAACCTCCCTGCTTGGCAATATCCTCGAATCAACTCATTGTAGGATACTATATTGGGTTTTGGCCCGTCCTTGTCCAACCTCTCAAGCACAGCAGCTGCATCATCAATCCTACCTTGTGCAACCAAACCCCGCAGCTTTGCATTGTAGCACTTTGCGTCTGGCTCCAAATGACTCTCCTTAATCATTTCCCATACCGCCTCGGCTTCATCATTACGGCCACTGTTGTGAAACCCATCCAAGAGCGAGTTGAAAGTAATAATGTCAGGTGAAACACTGTGCTTCTTCATGAGATGAACAGCATCAAGAGCGGCTGAGAGGTCGGACTTGTGGCACAATGTGCGGATGAGTGCGTTGTAAGAGTATACGTCGGGAACAATGGAGGGGTGGACGGCTGGGATCTCCTGGAATGCAGCAGTGAGCGCGTCAAGATCTCCGGCTTTGGCGTAAGCGGCAAGGACGGCGTTGAATGTCATGGTGGACTTATGCCGCGCAGGAAGTTGATTGAAGGTTGCGGCCGCTTGGGTTGGCATGGAGGCGCGGCCGTAGAGGCGGATGACGCGCGCGGCGAATTCCGCGGTTGAGGTCTCGAGGAAGGGCTTCTGCGCGTCGATGATGGCCTGGATGCCGTCTGGGCGGCCGAAGGAAGTGAGGCGGCTCACCGCTACATCGTACAGGTGGTGCTGGTCGCGGAAGCGCGGCGATGCGGAGGAAGCTTGGACGAACATGGAGACCAGCTTGTCAGGGTCCCGCTGCCTGATGAGGGCCTTGCGGATACGGCGAAGGGGCTTCCGGAGGATCTGGTCCGCGTCGGGCTCGGCTTTGGGTGGTTTTTCGGTTGGCGGGGAGGGGGAGAAGATGCTGAAGAGGCCGTTTGCCCGGCTGGAGGCGGTGGCGACGGTGGCGGCGGCGGCCGCCGCGGCGGGGGAGGCCATGGGAAGGGGGCCGAATGGGGGCGAGAGGAGTGGAGCTGAATGGGCGACGGAGGGCGTGGCCGCGCCCTTGATCTTGCGATTGCGTTTGGGTTGTTTTACTC